TTTTGATTTTATTATTTGTCATAACTATTTTTATTATTACTATCAAACAGATTTATGAAATGGGACTATTTTATTGACTATTATGAAATCATGTTATTTTTTTTGATATGATATTTTTTGAGTTATTATAATTATTTAAATAAATATTTTTTTTATAATATATCTTAAAATGGAAAATGGCAACGTTGCAGAGTTTTTTATGCTCAATCGTGTAGGTTTTCTTTTGTATTCCGATTTCCTTTGATTTGGCTCAATCGTGTTGCAAAAAAGGTGTTTTATGTTCAATCGTGTCTCAGCCAAAATTTAATTCGTACTCAAAATGTCTGTATAATTCCCGTGAATTCCCACCCGTTCCTGGATATTTCGGGGAAGTCCCGTCACGATATGTTCCCGGAAATTTCCCATCCCCAAGTCCTAAGTGCATTTATACATGTACCTATAATGTATGTAATGTACCTGTTTATATGTGACTGACAAAGCCCGATTGTAAGGTGAGTCTAGGTTTTGCTGGTTAAGATTTACTAAACGTCAGTAGGTACCTACTCAGTAAAAATCTCACTACACTTTTTTGGTTGTACATTTATTCTGGTAATTGCGCTCAAAAGTCTTTGGGCACCCGACAATGATTGCAGGGCCGGATAGGTATGTATCGGCTCGTCGAGATTTTCACTTCTAAGTGGCCCATTTACATATTCAGTGGCCCAAAATTATGTCTATAATTATTACGAGCGTATAGGTGGCCAATCGTATTTTAAACATGAATTTATTTTTACTCACACTTACACGACCAGCCCAAACTTTAAGCGGCCCACCGAGATTTTCTCGGTAGCTCAACTAACCAATCTAGGCCTGAATGATTGATAGTTGAGCAACAGCTTGATGTGCTATGCTTGTTGGGTTTTAATTTGTAACACACCATATGGAAATACATTTTGCTTTAAATCAAGTAAATTTATAGTAGTGATGCCACATAGCCACAATAGTATAGGTATGTTGTAGGTAACCTGTGTAAATAAATAATAAATAATTTAATTAAATATTATAAGTAGTCGGGAAAATGAAAAGTGGCCACTGAAGCTCTTGCATTCTTGTGGTGAATTTCTGTGACTGTGTTGCAAAATAAATCACGCACATTTTGAAATATTAGGTATAGATAATAGCATTGATTATCAGGGGCGCCGAGACCCATATTAATGTAGGGCGACTGCCCTACATATTGAAATGGGTGGGTGGGTGGTTGCCGAGCGGGCAGTAGCTGATGCCTGATAGATGTTAACTGTAGAAACTAGAAAGATATCTAAGAAATATAATTGGTACCTATGTAAAGTATAATAATTATTATATGTAATACACTATAATATAATACCTATTGTAGTTGGGTAACTAATACAATAGTATAAGAATAGTTAATAGTTTAGAATATTACAGGACGTATAACGATAATATAGCTATTTTAACAACTTAAATGTAATGATGTACATTAGGTATTTATCTGACCATTTAAATAGTATAAAACTAAAAAAAAAGGTCAAATTTCTTTTGTTACCTGGGAAAGACAGAATCAGTTAATAGATTCAATATCTCATGATATTTCCTCTCAAATTCAACAATCAGTTGTTCAATCCAATATGTTTAGTATATCTATTGATTCTACTTTTGATGCTTCACGTCGCGAACAAGTATCATTTGTTATTAGGTATGTTGATGATATATTTGGGTTAATTCACGAAAGAGTCATTGCTATTAAAGAATCACCTATTACAACAGGAAAAGACTTGTACAGCTTATCTGTTGCTATTATGGAAAAAGAAAAACTTAATTGGAAAGATTGCCTTGTTGGGCAGTCTTATGATGGTGCTTCAAACATGCGCGGAAATTACAAAGGCTTACAAGCACATATAAAAAGAGAATGTCCACAAGCTTTGTATGTATGGTGTCATGCCCACCGACTAGCCTTGGTAGTCAAGCAAGCTGTATCCTGTGACTCAAATTCAAGAGACTTGTTTGGAAATTTGGAAAGTCTATATGTCTTGTTATGGTGTTCAAAAAAAAGAGCAGCAACATTTAGAGAAGCTCAAAAAAAACACTCAAACTTAAAATACACCCAAGAGCATGCTGTTAAACGAGTCTGTACAACACGTTGGAATTCCCATTCAGCAGCTTTGAATGTAGTTATCAAGTTCCATCATGCAGTTTTACAAACATTGGAAGAAATAAAAAATCTTGAAGGAGTTACTGATGCAACTGTTGGTGCCAATTGTAGTGGTCTTATAGATTATTTTACATCACGGAGATTTTTATTAACTGCTTTCACATTCAAAAAGCTATTCGACATATTAGAAGTAGTTACAAGACAATTTCAAACACATGATATGGATATTTTATTGGCAACAAGTATTGTAACTAAAACAATTAATTCGATTAGAAAATTGAGAGCAAATAATTCATTTGAGGAAATTATAAAATTAACAGATAATTTTATCAATGAGAGTGACACAGATTTTATACCATTAAAAAATATCAGACCTAGGCGTGTTCCAATTAAAGCAGGTATGATATTATTTATTTCAATTTTACAATGCTATGTAATTAACTAAAAAATAAATATAAAAATATTTTCAAGGTTAAATTATATATTAGTTATTTTTAGTGAATAAAACAACTAATTGTATTTTATTAATTATTTAGGTGAACTAATGCAAGATGATCCTATTGTTTGTCCAATTAAAAAGTTTGAGGTAGAAACTTACAATGCTGTAATAGATATGACTCTAAATGAATTGAGTGACCGGTTTGAAACCACAAATATTGGACCATTAAAAGACATAGCATTGCTCTCATATCGTAGAATACAAGAATTGCACAATGATCCAACAATGCTACCAAAAGATTCATTTATAGAGTTATGTGAGGTCTATTCAAAAATTAATAGAGATTGTTTGATTTCTGAATATATGCAGTTTTGTAAAAATTTAAATGAATTTGAAAATAACTTAAATTTACCAAAGTTTTTGCATGATGTTAGTAATAATAAATCAAGTAAATATGATGAAGATGAAAATGATAATAATGATGACAACATTTCTATGCTTGAACTAAATACGTATGATGATTTAAATGAAACTTCGAATGATAATGATCAAAGAGCAATTAAAAACATTGGGAGTACTAAAAAAATTTTTCAAATGTTTTGTACAGCTAATTTAACCAGTTGTTTCCCAAATTTGTATGTAGCATTAAAATTATCAGTCACTCTTCCAATTTCAAGTTGTAGTGTAGAGCGTTCATTCTCAAAGTTAAAACTGATCAAAACTAAACTTCGAACTTCCATGCTACAGGATAGGTTAGAAAACTTGATGAAAATCAGTTGTGAAAAAGACTTAAATCCAATAGTAGACAATATAATTTTATCGCTAGCTGGAAAAAGTTCCAGCTTATGTAAAGCATTAGTGTATTAATGTACTTTGTTAATGTATGTTTAAGTTATATTTTTTTTATGAACAAATGTTCAATTTTTCTTATTGTAAACATATTACACCATTGATTATAATAATTTGTTATTTCTATTCAATTAATATGAATTTATAATATTAAATAATCAAAAATTGATCTGTTATGACATTATGTTATTATTATTTAATATTAAATATGTAAGAAATGAGTTAAAATTTAAACATTTGTATTTAATTACCATTATTACTAATGATCTATAATAATTATATTCATATTTTATATTGAATTTAAACATAATATCTATGTTTGCATAAATAGTACTAATCAAAACTGTAAATTGAGGAATATAAAAATACACAATTTTTTTATAAATACCTATATATATTTCTTATTAGTAATAGTTTATTTGTATGATTCTAAAGTGGGTACCATAATTTTGGATTTTTGCTTTTTATACGTATAACACAGTTTTATGAACTTATTAAGGATATATATATATATTATAACTGCCTTATTGAAAGCAATTAAGATAATTAACTTAAATAGGTATTTAGGTGGATGGGTTGTCAATTATGATTTGCCCTACATATATTTTTATACTTCGGCGCCCCTGTTGATTATAAATAGATATAATTACTTAATACAATTGTATTAGAATGATGTTGTATACGTGTCTTATTAGAACACCTGTTTTCCGAAGAAAAAAAAGATTGTTATTATAACGCCAGCGGCCACTATTCATTCCCCCGACTATATTTTTTCTTTAATAATATCTATTATAATTTTCAAACAAAATTAACGTATGTATGTTAAAGTACAAATACCTAGCCTAAATAGTTATTTAACTTAGTTTTTAATTTTTAATTATAATTAAAAATCATTGGCTTTCTGCTGTAAATATACCAGCGCCATTATATGTTTATTTTAAATTTTACAACAGGTTTTTTAGGAAAACCCGAAAAATTTTATGAATCTCATGAGATTTTATTGAGTGTATACGATTAGTAATTCCTGACATACCTACCTAGTAAATAATTTAACCTTACCTAGTGATCTTGTTTTATTAGTTTTTGTGTATTGATTATTGTGTATTGACAAATACGTTTATTTATTCATATTGTTTCTGAAACATTTTTTTATGCTTCGAAGAGTTTTGTTAGGCAGTCACCTATATAGACATTTGGGAATATATGTATACTTTTGGGGTACCTATGGGTATTTTTGAGGACAATTCAAGTGAAACTTAATCACTTGAATCCCTGGCTTATGACTCATATAAGTTTATGGATAAATTATAATATCGTACCTGACCTATAGTACCTACACTCTGTTGATTTTTGTATATAATGTTAATATCGATAAAGGTATTGATTAGAAATACAAATAAAACATTGTATCTATTGTCGATGGTTATTTGGGTTTATTATTAAAATTAAAAACAAAATAATTATATTATTTATATTTTATGGTATTTAATAATAATTACTTATACCTCAGCAATCGGCATAGGTATATACACGTTTAAACTAAATATGTTATTCATATCTTTTGGATCCTGAGTGAAACGATGAATGTATTGATTTTACTGCAATGATGTGTGTTTTTTTTTTATTTATTTTTTTTATTTTGTGTCTGTGTACACGATAATAAGTAGTTGAAATAATGCTTTGATTTTCAACCTCAATATCTTCTTCGATGGGAAAGTGAATATTGTTGGTGCATTGAAGAAGTCAAAATTTAAAATGTCCAGTAGTTTTCAAAATCGCCGGGAAAATCAAACATAAAAATTAAGGAAAACTAGAATTTTTACGCAAAATCGGTTTTCCACAAAATCGATTTTGGTTTTTGGGGTAACTCTTAAACAAATTAACGTATATACATGACATTTTCAACGGTTGTTTATATTTCCATTTTCTATACATGATAAAATTTTCAAAATATTTTGATTTGTTTTGAACTGTTTAGAGATATTTTCAGTTTCCCATTTTATTACTTTTTTTTTTCTATGAATATGTCAATAAAACTTTATTTGTTGAGTAAAAATACTTGAAAAATTAACATTCCTTATAAGATTATCTACCTTTATCAAAAAAAAAATTCTATAAGAAAGTCAAATTAAATTTATATGAACGTTTGAAATTCAAATTTTTACAACGTTAGATATTCACTCGATTTCTCATGTAATGATTTTCTTATTTTGTTGTAATTTTAAAACGAATAACCGTAGATACATGAAAATTTCACTGAATGTTTATTTTATCAATTCTTATACTTGATAAAATTTTCAAAATATTTTGACTCGTTTTGAGCTGTTTACGGACAATTACATATTTCAATTTTTTTTTTCTATGAATATCAATAAAGTTTTATCTGTTGGTCTAAAAAGTGTAAAATTTTAATACAAGGCTCCTGATATAATGTTACAATAGCAGTTGAAAAATATTAAAAATACATAAGCAATATTTTTTTTTTATAAGTATTTGAAGTTCAAATTTTGACAAAATTTAATAATTATTTTGCAGTTAAAAATGTATTAAATGTTCAACTTTTATAGCTAAGGATTGAAAATATAAAGCAAAGTTCCACGTAAATATGTTACCTATATATAAATTACTTTTTTCACAATAATATCATCAAATATACTTAGTAATATCATAGGCTGACTGATCGTTTTCTTTCAGAATCGTTTTTCTTATACAATGATATTATATCATTGAATTCAAATTTAACATCATCCATTACAGTGCTCCTACTGGTAACCTACTGTACAGCAGAGCGACATCCACTTACCCACCTTTTTTTTTACAGTAAAAATAGGTTGACATGAATTTTATAATTAGGGAGGGTACCCAGTGGTAATACCCTATTATTTATATCTAAAAAAATGGGTAACTATTTGTTAAGCTAATGGTGAATAGCAATAAATTATTTAACTATAAACAAATTTTTCTAATTGATATTATATCGTGTTTCGGTCTTTCAGATGGATAGTATACCTACATATATTTGTGCACTCTACTGATCTATAATGTTATAAAATATGAATTGCCAGTTTTATTATAAATTATTCATAATAAATCATAACGTTCATCTTATATCGTATTATGTGTGTAATAGGCTCTAAATAATTTATTATAGTGACACACTTCATTAATTAACCACTTCCTCGGACTATGCATTTAAACTCATATATAGACATGTTCAGTAAAAGATGTTTGTTGTATAGCAATTAAATATCGTTTAGTATTTAAACAGACGTATAACCTAAATACTAATATTAAATATGTTTACTTGTATTAAAAAAATGTAGTTCCTCAGTTTAAAATGTATAATCTTCAGCGTATACGTATAGGTACGTGAGTTTATAATAATTCAATATAAATCTATATTTTTACCTACGTTTTTTTAAATTTATTATGTAAAAAATAAATAGTATGCTGCGAAAACCGTTTGAAGTCCGTTAAACGTTATAATTACCTATATAATAGTAGCGATAAGACGCACTGTATAACGATAGTCGAAAATATTGGAAATTGTATTCGATTTATATATTAATTAATTATACCTAAACCATATAGGTACATACTTTGCTTGTCGTTGTGGTTTTGTCAATCATTAATATAATTTATAAGTGAGGGGTATACTCTGATTAGGGCAACAAGGTCGTCTTTCTCCAAGGTCTTCCATGGCGTAGAATTAAAAGCTCCTGTTAATTATTTTCCAAACTGTTTTTTTCGTCGCCGCCGCTACGTATCCAACATGCAATATCGTTGACCGCCGGAAATGTGTCAATGTAAACTGGCTTTCCTTGCGTATAAGTTAGTATATAATAATATTATAATGTGTGAGTATGTGCGATAAAAGATTGATTGTTTTGCGGGAGCCATCGTATAGAGGTAATTATCGAACTACAGATTATAATGTGTGTGTGTATATATATATATATATATGTATGTATGTATGTATGTATGTATAATGTATATTATGTTATTGTTAGGCTGGTCTGTCGAAATGATGTCACCGAAACATCCATCATTGAACTAATTATAGTTTTCGAGGTTTCAGATTGTGTGTACAATGGGTGGTGTGTATGTGTGTGTTGTAGTAGAAGAGGTGAAGTAGAAAAAAATACTGCGCACAGTAAAAGGAACAACAACCGGAGAGGATAAAAAAACAAATATACCATTCCTACTGCATCACAGCCTCTTAATTATCGCGCTAGGTCTTGACGTGAAGCCAAAGTTAGTTATATTGTACATCGTATATGTATAAAATATATCTATTTAATAGATTAATGTGTGTGCGTTTTTTTCTAATACTAAACACGGCCATTAAGCCGACACCTACCGATTTGTGTGCCGAATTTCGCCGTTGAAAACTAATGATAATTGACACACATTTGTCTACCGGCAGTGTGAAATGGTTTATAAGCGTTCTGCACAACAGTTTTCGGATGATTTATTGTGCACGATTTATGTAACGTCTTCGTTTTGCTTCTACTTTGCGCCTATAAGTACATATCAGTATATTATATGCCTTCGTTTTAAAATTATAATATTATAATATCTGTAATATATATATAAATGTATATATTGTATATACCTACGTCGTTATATTATTCTTATATATTTTTGGCATTCAACGCACACAGGTCATCAGGGCTTTTTCAAGAAATAAACTAAAAGAATATTTTTGTTTGTATCTCGCGCGCGCGTTTGCGTTCATTGAATTCTTATTTTGCGTAGGATTTCGTTTTCTTTTTTCAGTGCGATGTGTGGCGAGCATGTCCGTAGGCGTCTTTGGACCGATTCACACACACACACACACACATACACATGCACACATATTTATGTACACAAGTACACCTCATGTGGCGTTTAAGTCACCGCCGCAACTATACCTGTTGATGGTATATTATATGCGTTGTGGTGTTGTCGCGACAATATTTTGGTCTTTTGTGTTTTTTTGTCCTGTATATTATAATAACGACCACGAAAAAATAATA